GTCTGTCCCTGTCCAGGACATGGTGGCGTACAGTGATGGATGGATGAGAGTTTTGTTTGTTTGTTTGTGTTTTACACTTGGTTTAACCCTGTCCCTGTGTCTGTCCCTGTCCAGGACATGGTGGCGTACAGTGATGGATGGATGAGAGTTTTGTTTGTTTGTTTGTGTTTTACACTTGGTTTAACCCTGTCCCTGTGTCTGTCCCTGTCCAGGACATGGTGGCGTACAGTGATGGATGGATGAGAGTTTTGTTTGTTTGTTTGTGTTTTACACTTGGTTTAACCCTGTCCCTGTGTCTGTCCCTGTCCAGGACATGGTGGCGTACAGTGATGGATGGATGAGAGTTTTGTTTGTTTGTTTGTGTTTTACACTTGGTTTAACCCTGTCCCTGTGTCTGTCCCTGTCCAGGACATGGTGGCGTACAGTGATGGATGGATGAGAGTTTTGTTTTGTTTGTTTGTGTTTTACACTTGGTTTAACCCTGTCCCTGTGTCTGTCCCTGTCCAGGACATGGTGGCGTACAGTGATGGATGGATGAGATCTTTGTTTTGTTTGTTTGTGTTTTACACTTGGTTTAACCCTGTCCCTGTGTCTGTCCCTGTCCAGGACATGGTGGCGTACAGTGATGGATGGATGAGATCTTTCTTTGTTTGTTTGTGTTTTACACTTGGTTTAACCCTGTTCCTGTGTCTGTCCCTGTCCAGGACATGGTGGTGTACAGTGATGGATGGATGAGATCTTTGTTTGTTTTGTTTGTTTGTGTTTTACACTTGGTTTAACCCTGTCTCTGTGTCTGTCCCTGTCCAGGACATGGTGGCGTACAGTGATGGATGGATGAGAGTTTTGTTTGTTTTACACTTGGTTTAACCCTGTCCCTGTGTCTGTCCCTGTCCAGGACATGGTGGCGTACAGTGATGGATGGATGAGATCTTTGTTTGTTTTGTTTGTTTGTGTTTTACACTTGGTTTAACCCTGTCCCTGTGTCTGTCCCTGTCCAGGACATGGTGGCGTACCGCGGTGGGGGAACCTACACCAGGAATCCTGACTCTTCAGCTCAGGGAGCAGGGGAGGAGGAGGATGAAGAGGGGGAGGATGAAGACGAGGAGGAAGAGGATGACGAGTAGAGACTGAGTGTGTGTTAGAGGAAGGTGTGTGTGTTTCAGAGGTCAGACAGGTGAGTGGGCGGAGCTTCACAGAACACCTTCCCGTTCAGAGACTTGAGGCTTCAGATATGTAGGGTCTGAGGAAGAGGAGGCAGACAGGTGAGGTTGGAGGTCAGGTGTTTGTTTCCATGATAACAGCAGTGAACTGGTCTGAGATCAGCTGAGTTTCTGCAGGTTTCATGGGGTGGAGCTTATTTATGGTACATTCTGCATTTGAAATAGGCCCCGCCCCCTTTTGTAGAAAACCGATGAATTGGTGATGAACCGGTTGTGACTCATGAGCCATGCCTCTACATTTCTGTGTAGCTTTTTATCCAGCACA